ATTATTTATTATACGCTAGCTGAGATCTGGAAGCAGCCTAAGTGCCCATCAGTAGATGAATGGATAAAAAGGCTGGGGTGCATTTACACAATGGAATACTATGCAGCAGTAGAAAAAGAAGGAATTCTTTCCTTTTGTGACAGCATGGATGGAACTGGAGACTATTATGCTAAGTGAAGTAAGCTAGTCAATGAAAGACAAATACCAAATGATCTCAGTTATAAGTGGAATTTAGTGAACAAAACAAACTTAACAACCAAAATAGAATCAGAGGCATAGAAACATGGGACAGACTGACAACTGTCAGAGAGGAGGGGGAAGGTGGGGACTGTGAAAAAAGGTGAAGGGATTAGTCAAAGAACATATTTATGACTCATGGACATGGACAACGGTGTGGGGATTGACTGGGGATGGGGGATGGGCTGGGTGGAGGGAGACAAAGAGAAAATTGGCACAACTCTTAACAGCATAAACAATAAAATATTTGAAAAAAAAAGTATTTCACAAGAAAAAAGAAAGCTAGGAAAACTCAGAAGAGTGGCTGAGTTTGACAGAATAGTAAAAAGGCTTCCAGAGGAGGTGATACTGAGTGGTATTTTGAAAGGTGAATAGGTGTTACCTAGATGAAAATGCAGGGAAAGGCATTTCTGGCAGGGAAAGGCATTTCTGGCAGGAAAATATTGTACAGTTCATACTAGTTTCTCTGAGTGAATGCTGAGAAAAGTGGTTGGAGATCTCAGAAACCACATCATGTGAGACTCATATGCTAATGAGTTTGGACTCATTAACCAGAAATGGTACTGGAAGATACTAGAAGAATAAAAATATTTGAATATATGAATGACTGACTTGTTATAGATGGTCTGAAGAGTCACTAAATGATTTTAAGAGGTGAGTTACATGATCTGATTTGTGTTTTAGAAAAAAACTCTCTGGCCACAGTTGAGGGCTGGATTGGATAAGGGCCAGATTGGAAGCTGGGATTTCAGAGCAAGTTATATAATTATTAATTAAATAATGAGAACCAAAAACGAGGCCTAGAGTAGAACTATAGAAGGGAGGGTGAACTAAGGAGTTATTAAGGAGATTGAATCTATAAAACAAATTGGTTGTGAGGGTCAAGTCTTGGATGACTCTAAGGCTATCTACCCTGTCACTGTTAGATCATAGTTTTCCCACTAATGGACAGAAAGAACTAAAACAAATACTTGAAAGGTTTTTGTTATTATAAACTATATAATATGAAATATAGCTTGTAAAAATTTCCTTGCCTCCCTAGTTATATTTTGCATAGGCTAATGTTGAATTTACCTGTGCATAAAGTAGAGGAGAGAGTCATTCCAACCAAAATGGGGTCACATATGATGATTTGGAAGCCCAAGGAATATTACAAGCCCTGATCTATATACTAACTATATTTTACTTAACATTTATTTTTAATTCATTGGTTTTTATGACTTAATCCAAGCACATAGTAAAAATGATTCAAGCACTATAAAATTGAATGAAAAATGAATTTTCTTCTCTCCCAAATTCTTAGCTCCATATTCTTACGCTTCCACTGTCGACAATTTTTTATATATCCTTCTAGAAAATTTTTATCCATTTAAATACAAATTATATTCTATTATGCATATTGTTTTTACTTTCTGTGTTAGTGCAGATAGATTTGCCTTAGTCATTTTTTACAACATATATACTCTTGAATGGATGTATCAAAATTTATTTAATCACTTTATTGTTGGATAACAGAATGAAGAGATGACATTTAATGACAGAAATAATCAGAGTTTAAAATTTTTTATTGTGAAATATAATGTATATGCAGAATAATGACAAAACAAGTACAGCTTAACAATTCTAGAGCAAACAGCCACCTGACCAGAGGTCCTGTCAGGAACACAGCATTGCTAAGCTTCCTTTGTACACTTTTCTGATCACAACACTCTTTCTCCCCACTAAGGTATGCATTTCTAAACAATATATTCAGTAGTTTAGTTTTGCTTGTTTCTGGACATGATATACAAAGAATCAATTTTGGCAATTTTTTTATAAAACATGGGGTTTTTCCATGTTGTTTACTTTTAATTGAGGTGTAATTGACATACAACATTTTATTAGTTTCATGTGTACAGCATAATCATTTGATATCAGTATATATTGAAAAATGACCACCACAATAAGTCTAGTTAGTTTGTGTCACCATATGTAGTTACAGAGGTTTTTTTCTTTGTGATAAGAACTTTTAAGATCTACTCTTAGCAACTTACAGATATGTAATATAGAATATTAACTCTAGCTACCACGCTGTATATTACATTTGCATAACTTATTTAATTTTTATTGAACTTATTGGGGGTAACATTGGTTAATAAAATTATATAGTTTTCAGCTGTACCATTCTACAATACATCATCTATATATTGTACTGTGTGTTCACCACCCAAAGTCAAGTCTCTTTCCGTCACAATTTACCCCCACTTAACCTCTTATACCTCCTCCACCCCCCCTTTCCCTCTTGTAATCACTATACTGTTGTCTTTCTATGAGTTTTTTTTTTTTTTGCTAATCCCTTCATATTTTCCCCCTAACCCCTTTCCCCTCTGATAGCTGTTAGTCTATTTTCTGTATCTATGGGTCTGTTTTTATTTTGTGCCTTAGATGGCACATCTAAGTGAAATCATATGGTGTTTGTTTTGCTCTGACTGGCTTATTTCACTTAGCATAATATTCTCCAGGTCCATCCATGTTGTCATAAAAGTTAAGATTTAGCTATTCCATTTCTGGGAATTTATCTGAAGAAACCCAAAACACCAATTCAAAAGAATATAAGCACCTCTATGTTCATTGCAGCATTATTTACAATAGCCAAGATTTGGAAACAGCCAAAGTGCCCATCAGTAGATGAGTGGTCAGAAAACCCTGTGGTACATTTACACAATGGAATACTACGCAGCAGTAAGAAAGAAGAAAACTCTTACATTTTGCAACAGCATGGATGGACCTGGAGAATATTATGCTAAGTGACCTAAGCCAGACAGTGAAAGACAAATATCACATGTTCTCACTTATATGTGTAATCTAATGAACACAACAAACTAACAAATGAAATAGTCTAATCAGCAAAATAGTAACAGAGGCTTAGAAACATGAAGCAGACTGACAGCTGCCAGAAGGATGAAAGATGGTGAAGGGATTAACCAAAGAACATTTATGTACAACCCATGGACATGGAAAATAACATGGGGATTGATGTAGGGAGAGGAGAGGGTGGGATGGATGGTGGTGGGGAAACAGAGAAAAAGGGGAAACAACTGTAATAGAGTAAACAATAAAAATAAATTTTAAAAAACTGGGCAGCAGTCAAATTCTGAGGAAAATTCTGAGAGGTGAATATATATATATATATATATATATATATATATATATATTCCTTTATTTAATTGTACTACCTAATTGCAAGTTAGCTCTCCCTTGGAAATATTTTATTATATTAAAATGTATATATTGCTGCTATAAAAATTATCAAACTATGCATAAAAGTAGTTTAAACATCACAACAGTTTTAGAAGGAGAAAAATCAATTACCCTTTCACCACAGCTGATTTGTATTGAATGTATCAAAATTTACCCAATGTGTATTACATCCTTTGAAAAATCACGTTGGGACAGTACATCTTTCCAAATATGTTTGGAGTGCCTCTTTTGAGGAGTCCTTTAAAATGTAGAGCACATTATTTTATTTATTTTTCTTTTAAAATATTTTATTGATTTTGCTATTAGAGTTGTCCCAGTTTTTCCCCCATTACTCCCTTCCATCCAGTCTGCCCGCCTCTTCCATAGTAAAGCATAGCATTTTAAATATAATCAGTTTGAAGTAAGATAGTAAAAAGCTAGGAAAATTCCTAGGCAAGTGGAATGAGGAAACTCAGACAAGAAAATTAAACAAAGCCAAACAGTTTGAGCAACTTACAGCCAGCTGGTGAATCGCAAGATCTTATCTCCCCTAACCAAGGACACTTGAGAGTGAATGTTTTATACGTTTTCTCCTTAACCAAAGAATACAAAACTTAAATCTCCCTGGTCTGGGACATAGAGAATAGAGACCCAGTTAATGTCATTTGTGCCAGCTAAACCCAAGGATAGATGAAGTCAGGGGAACAAATAACAAAAACCCCATTAAAAGCCAGACAGACTCAAGATAAAAGTAAAACAGTATAGTGGACCAAAGAATATTCCCCCAAATCCTGCTATGAGCTCATTTTGACAGGTATATAAAAATACACCTGCGCAGCTGATGAATAATCTGTTGAAACCCTCCCCTAAGTTTCTCACCCGCAGAAAAAAGACAAAAAGCCCTCAGGACAAAGACTCAGGGTGGGCTCACTACAGAGCATCCCAGTGCCCCTTCCTGGGCATGAACCTTTTACGGGTTTCCTAACTCTAAGGGTCCCAGGGAGACTTGCCGCCAGGGGAGCAGGGGGCAGCAGCAGCAACTTGACTCAGGCTTTCCCACTGATCCTGTCTCCAGGGCCCCCGTTTTCTCTGACTTCATGATGAGATACAAGCAGCCCTGCTTTGGTCCAACCTGTCATTGACCTTTCCAGGAGTTAACAGCATCCCCACCTTAGCTTACTCCTTACCTGTAACTTTCCTAGGGAGCCAGAGCAGGGCACCGCCTAGGCTCCCTCGTGTTACTTCTTCTGCCCTAAACCTTTTCTTTGTTTACTGTTACCAGCGTTAATAAACGCACTATCAAAATCACCCGGACTTGTATTGTGAAATCTTTCCTACACAAAGTCAAGAACACACAAACTACAGGCATGTTTATAGGTCAAAAATAATAAAATATCCCCAATTTTATAAGGTTCCACTTATTGAAAAGATGCACAGAAATGAAATATTATATCACTTTATTGGTTTTTAAACATTTATGAAATAGTGCAATGTCATACATGTACACTTACTTTTTGTTTTATTACTAACCACTTTTATTTTAGTTCCATAATAAAAACATAGAAAAAGATAAAGCCTCACAAAACTGCATAGAGAGAGATGTGGAACAAATGGCAAAGAGGTTACGGATGGCCCATGAAGAAATCCGAAGGCTCGCTGATGAACTGCAAGGGAATGAGAAGGAACAGAGTAAATTAGGTAAGCTGTGGTTACAGAAGAACATTTCTGGCCATGTTTTTCTAAATTATATTTTGTGGATTATGCTATTCCAGTTGTCCCGATTTTCCCCCTTTGCCCCCTCCACCCAGCCCCCCACTCCCTCGGGCAATCCCCACACCATCGTTCATGTCCATGGGTCATCTGTGTAAGTTCTTTGGCCACTCCATTTCCTGTCCTGTACTTTACATCCCTATGGCTATTCTGTCACTACCAATTTGTACTTCTTAATCCCCTCGCCTCTTCACCCAACTCCCCCACACCCACCTCCCACCTGGCAACCATGGAAACGCTCACTGTACCCATGGTTCTATTTCTGTTCTTTTTTGCTTAGTTTGTTTTTTAGGTTCAATTGTTGAGAGATATGTATTTATTGCCATTTTATTTTTCATAGTTTTGATCTTTTTATTAAGTCTCTTTAATACTTCATACAATAATGGCTTGATGATGATGAACTTTTTTTTTTTGTCTGAGAAGATCTTAATCTCCCCTTCAATTCTAAATGATATCTTTGCTGGGTAGAACAAAGTCTGATAAAGAGCCTCATTTTCTTTAGTAATTAAATTTTTATTAAAGCGTAGGCAAGAGATTTTTTTCTATTTATTTATTTATTTATTTTAGAGAGAGGGAAGGTAGGGAGAAAGAAAGGGAGAGAAACACCAATGTGAGAGAGAGACATTGATTGGTTACCTCTTGTGAGCCCTGTCCAGGGACCAAACCCACAACCCAGGCATATGCCCTGACTAGGTCTTGGATCAGTGACCTTTCATTCTGCGGGACGATGCCCAGCCAACTGAGCCACACTGGTGAGGGCAAAGTGCACAACTCTTAAGTATATACCACTCAGCAAGAAATCCTCAGCACCCCAGAAGCCCCCTTTGTTCCTTCTCCCTATGTCTATACCCTCTCTGCTCCCCAAAAGTAACCACTACCTTGACTTTCAACGCTATTTCTTAGGTTTGACTATGGACACCACACGTTCTTTAGTTGTTTCTTTGTTCAATCTTATGTTTGTGAGATTCATTCATGTTGTTGACTGTAGCAGCATTCATTCACTTTTGCTGTTTATACAGTATTCCATTGAATAAACACACTATAACTTATTTATTCTTTATACTGTTGGACATTTATGATATTTCTAGTTGTGGTCCATTATGAGTAGTGCTGCTACGGATATTTTTGTACTTATCTACACATTTCTAACTGTGACATACCTAAGAGTAGAATTGTTAGGTCAACAGGTTATAAGGATGCTCTACTTTGGTAGATTACTGCTATACTGTCTTCCAAATAGTTGTATTAATTTGAGCTCTCTTCAGTTGTATGTGAGATTTTGCTTGTTCTACATTCCTTGTAAATCCCTGATATTGTCAGTCTTATTAACTACCTTTTCTGATGAGTGTGTAGTGGTATTTAATTGTGGCTTTTATTTGCATTTCCCTAATGGCTAATCAAGTTGAAAAATGTTTGTTGATGCTCATTTGGAGATACTACTTTGTGAAGTTCCTGCTCAAGTCGCATGTATTTTTTTCTATTGGCTTGTATGTTTGTTTTATTAATTTATAATAGTTCTTTATATTTTTATTCTTTAAAATATTGTATTTATTTGTTTTTTAGAGAGAAAAGAAGGGAGAGAGAAAGAGAGGGAGAGAAAGAGTGCACGAGAAACATTGATCAGTTGCTTCTTTTGTGTCCCCAACTGGGGTCCTGCCCTGCAACCCAGGCCTGTGCCCAGACAGGGAATCAAACAGGCAACCTGTTGGTTCACAGGCCAGTGCTCAACCCACTGAGCCACAGCAGCCAGGGCAGGAGTTCTTTATATATTTTAGATATGAGCTTTATGTTGGTTATAAATGTGATGCTGGGTTTTTTGCCATATAGAAACACCTATATTTATCAGGTCAGATTTAACAGAGATACTCTTCACAGCTTCTCAGTTTTCATGTGTAAAGCCTTTTCTACATCACTATGTTATTGAAAATGTTCACCCCAGGTTTCTTTTTTTTTTTAGTGCTTTTATGGTTTTGCTGTTTATATTTTAGTCTTTGCTTTATCTATAATTTATTTTAGTATAAAGTTTAAAATTTTTTGTCTCCTTTCTATATTTATAATTTGTAATTATTAAAGACATTAGACTTATTCTTTTCAAATGCAATTTATGAATTACCTTAAGGTCACATCTAAAGAATTTTATATGTATAAAATAATAATGATTCTGCCCAATTGATTGTGAGATTATAAACAAAGAAAAAATCAGGAGGCTTCATATTTTTTGAAGAATGCATTTTAAACAGAATACAAATTAACTTTTTAGAAAATAGAATTGTTCTATACCCTAACTGGATTGCTGGGTACACCCTTGTATGTAATTGTCAAACTATATACTTAAAAGGATGAATTTTATTGTATACAAATTATACCCCCAAAACCCAATTTTTTAAAAAAAGAAAAGAGATTTCGCTGTGTGAGACACTATCTTTGCCGCTTGCATTATGGAAGGGGAAAGGAAAAGCAGCGCACCCATTACTCAGTTTCATTTGGACACAACAGAACACAATCACACGGCACCCTGTTCCATCAGCAGCCGGTAGGTCTGGTAGATAACCTATTAACTGAAAGCTATCTCCGCAGTGAGTACATTGGGAGTAGACTGTTGGGAAGCTAAATTAGCAAGTCCTTTAATATAGCAGATGTAATAGTGTCTCACTGTGCCTAAGCAGTTTATACAAACAGTGCAATTTATGCTGAAATCCTGCCTGCCTTCTGTTCTGAGAGCCTGGAATTTTAGTATGTTCTAATCAGGGATGTCTAACCCGTGGCCCGCGGGCCACATGCAGCCGTGGATGGCTATGAATGTGGCCCAACACAAAACCATAAATTTATTTAAAACCTTTTCTTTTTTGCTCATCAGTTTTCGGTAGTGTTTCTGTATTTAATGGGTGGCCCAAGACAACTCTTCTTCTTCCAGTGTGTCCTGGAGATGCCAAAAGGTTGGAAGCTCCTGCTAGGCAGGAGATGTACACGTATGTGTGACTAATCTCCTTTAAAAACCTTGGACACTGGGTCTGCAAGGGATTTTCCTGGTAGACATTTCACACATATTGTCAATTTTTTTTTCTGGAGAAATTAAGCACATCCTGTGTGATTCCACTAGAAAACTTTTAAATAGCTTGTGCCTGATTTTCTCTAGATTTTGTCCCATGCACCTTTTCTTTGTTATTAGGAATGATCTCTTGTAAGAGTTGTGTTAGTCTTTTACTTCTGGGAGATTTTTCATCCTGATGTTATAGGAGGCCCACCAGTTATTTGAAATTTGATTATTATACTAACCATTTGTTCTGTATACAAATGCAGGGGTTGGCAAAAGTAGGTTACAGTTTGTGAGTATGAGAAACGCAGAGTTTATTCTTATATTATTATTTATTAATTATTTTATTATTTTCCATATGAACAATTGTAAACCTACTTTTGCCTCACCCTGTGGGTTTTTTTTTTCTTTTAGATTCTGCTCTTGAGAAGGCTCAACTAGAAATTGAGGAACTTAAAGAAAATTTGATAAAGCTGAAAGAAAATGGTGAGTCACTTTAGCAGATATATTTAATAATAATATAGTACACAATAATATAACATTAAACAATATTTTAAAATATTATTTAATAATTATAATAATAGCACTACTGCTGCTATTATTACTAATTCTACTACAGTTTCTATTACTATTACTTCTCCATGAGGCACTTGACATGGATTATCTCTAATCCTCACAACAATTCCAAATATTAAGTATTATTATTCCATTTTCACAGATAAACTGAGTCACGGTGAGGTTAAGTGAATTAGTGCATTTAGACAGTGGCATACTATGTAGAACAAAATGAAGGAATGGAAAAACAAATTGTGGTACATTAATAAGATGGACTAAAGGATAAAAGAGATCAAGTTATTGATATAACACAGATAAATCCCAAAAATATATATTGACCGAAACAAGCCTGACACAAAAAAATATGTATATTATAAGATTCCTGCCCTGGCTCTTGTGGCTTAGTGGACTGAGTACATGCCTGAGAACTAAAAGGTCGCTGGTTTGATTCCCAGTCAAGGCACATACCAGGGTTGCAAGCCAGGTCCCCAGTGAGGGGCACGCAGGAGGCAACCACACATTGATGTTTCTCACCCCCTCTTTCTCCCTTCCTTCCCCTCTCTCTAAAAATGAGTAAATAAAATCTTTAAAAAATTTTCCATTTATATGAAAACCAAAAACAAGCAAAACAAGCCCATGATGATAGAAATCAGGAAGTGAGGGTAGGTAGGAGTAAAGAACAGACTGAAAAGGATGTGAGGAAATTTTGTGGGGTGATGGAAAGAAAGGTTCTTTCTCTTTTTGGGTGGAAGTTCAGAGGTAAATAAAATTGTCAAAGTTCATTGAACTGAAGACTTAAGATACATATGTTATTTAGTATATAATTATACCTCAATTAAAAGTAGTTCCAAATATGAAATTAAAAATGACTTTATAAAGATTGTCCTGTCAATATATCCATGCCATATTTACAAGTGGTAATGTTGTAGATAGTAACATCACAGACAGTATATATAACATTATTTAAATTTTTAAAAATTGCATAGACCAAAGGTAGAACAAACCTTGTTTGCATTTTCTCATGTAAGTCAGGAAGTAGCACTTCCTCAGTTTTAAGATATTCTACATATCTTAAGTGTTTATTCAGTTCAGTGAACTTTGACTATATATGAATGTGAATATATATTATGTAGGGATTGTGAATGATTTATTTTCTTTTTGATGTGTCTTTGGCATTTTTCATATTTAAAAAATTTACATACTAAGGAGGAAAAACGAGTGTAGCAAGGTAAAAGAAAGTGAAGAAGGAAAAATTAATACAAGTTAAATGCAAAACAGGCAATGAAGAAGGAAAACAAAGACTTTAAAGCAGCGAAAAAAAAGAGAGAAACAAGTGGAAAGTAGCTAAAAAGAAACAGCTACAAATTCAGAAAAGTTGCAAGGAACAAGTTTGTATTATTGAAACTTCCGTGAGTGCCAGAAAGAGCAGGTCTTAACATTAGGTGCAGTGAAAGACAAATACCATATGATCTCACCTATAAGTAGAACTTAATCAACAAAACAAACAAGCAAGAAAAATATAACCAGCAACATTGAAAGAAAAAACAAACCGACAGTAATGAGAAGGAAGGAGGTAACGGGGAAAAGGGGAAGGGTCAAGTCAAGGAACATGTATAAAGGACTCACGGACAAAGCCAAAGTGGGAAAGGACTGAGGGTGGGAGGTGGGGGTGGGTGGGGCAGGGGAACGGGGTCGCAGGAAAATGGAGACAAATGTATCTGAACAATAAAAAAAAGAAAAAAACGTCTGTGGAAAAAATAAATAAAAGAAAACATCATGTTTGCACAGGGGATAAAAAAACTGTTAGGTACTAAGCTGAGAATGGAGTACCGCTTTAATGCCAGTGTTGCTAGAGGCAGAGAGATGGCTTTGATAAATTAACTTGCTTTCACAGAGAAAATGTGTTCTTTCACTGTTCCTAACTCACTACCACAGCCATCTGTGGGGCACTTGCTGTTAATGACTAGATGAGAAGTATCTAGGAGCGTGTGAGGTGTGTAAGAGAGACAGGGTCATCAGGAAGCCAGGAAGGTCATTTTTTAAAACCATTTAACTTTTAGAAGGTAGGCACAACTGTTTTAAAATTCCAGGTCCTGGAAAAATCTCTATTGCTGGAATCCCTACACACAAAAATCCAATTCATTAGTCTTGGTGTGAGATATTAAAAAAACATTCTGTTCTGTTTCGTTACGTTGGTCAAATATTCTAAGGCTAGACGTTGAATTCAGAGATATGACAAGAAATTCAGGAAGTAGCACTTCTTCAGTTTTTAGAGTTAATGCCCCCAAATTAAAACTTTGCTCCAGTTGAATAGAGTGCATTCTTCTCTGTTTTAGAATCAATTGACCTAAAGAAAGCAAAGGAACGTAATCAGAGATTGAATGAGGAAATTCTGGCTTTAAGAACTCGGGTTCGATCCCTTGACTCAGAAAAAAAAATGCTTGGAGAAGTGGTAAGTTGTTTAATTTAGTTTGTTCTTAGAATTATTTTAAGTGTGTATAGAATAACAATCCAGTAGAAGAACAATAAAGATACCCATCTGTTGGTCATTATTGAGGATGGATACTGGTGGCTCTAGCATCCTAGGAAAATGCCATACTTTGACTTGGATGCATTCTATCAGTATTTGTATTTTATACATTTTAACTACCTATGCTAAACAGTAATCTTACCGCTATTGTGGCAATTTATGATCTCTTCTTTTTAATAGGGACTTAGATAATAGTTTACACTCAACACACTTACCAATAGAAATTATTACTCTATTATACTGGATATGTTTGACATTATTAATACTATACTCTTAGTTGTGTTACATTTTTTAACCATTTCTCCTTAGCAGTCGATTTATAATATGTACTTCCAAGTCCTGAATATATTATACATCCCTTAAATTTTAGTTTATATTCATTTCACAATCATTATCTGTAGTGTCTCTAACACAGTGCCTGGCATATATGCTGGGTGCTCAAAAAATTTTGTTGCAAGAATGAATAAATACCCATTAGGATGGCTATTATTAAAACAACAGAAAACAGACATTGATGATGACGTGGAGACATTGAAACCCTGCTGCACTGGTGAGAATGTAAAATGGTACCGCCACTGTGGAAAACAGTATGGCAACTTCTTTAAAAAGTAAATATAGAACTACCATACAATCCAGCAGTTCTGCTTCTGGGTATATACTCAGCATTTCGGCAATTGTGAAGAACTGAAAAAAGGGACTTTAACAGATATTTGTATATTCACGTTAATAGCAGTATTATTCACAATTGCCGAAAGGTTGAAACAACCCAAGTATTTATTGACAGCTGAGTGGATAAACATACAATGGAATATTATTCAGCCTTGAAAAGGAAGGAGATCCTGACATATGCTACACCGTGAATGAATCTTGAAGACATTATGCTCATTGAAATAAGCAAGCCACCAAAAAGGCAAATAGTAGATGATGTCACTTATATGGGGTTCCTACAGGAGTCAAAATTGAATGGTGGCTGCTAGGGACTGTGGAAAGGGCAGAATAAGGAGTTATTGTTTAATGGGTCTAGAGTTTCAGTTTTGCAAGATGAAAAAAATTCTGAAGATGGACAGTGGTGCCGGTTGCAGGGTAATGCGAGTGTGATTAATGCAGATGGACGGCACACTTAAAAATGGTCAACGTGGCAAATTCTGTGTTATGTATATTTTTTCATAATTTAAAACTGTAATCATTAGAAAGAATGAATAAAAAAGACTGTTCAAGTTGTGTTTGTAAATTTATATATCCAATACTGATATATATTTATGTTTGATATATATGTATACATACATACATGGGAGATAAACTTCAGGAAGGGTATACTGTAAACAGTATTACTTCTGGGAAGGGGAAAGGGATTACTGGGGTAAGGGTATGAGAAGGAAAAGAGCACTTTTTACTCTATATACCTATATGTTGTTTGAAAGTTTTACACAAACAATGTATATTTTGAAAACAAAACAACTCCCCCACCCTTCCAACTTTTGTATTTAAAACACTTCTGTGTTTAAGGTTGAAAAGCTTAAAGGAGAGATTCGTGAATCTCAAGAGAGTAAGCAACTTGGAAACCACTCCCCTGAAAGAACTGTGGGTGCTGAGCAGAAAGTACAGGTATTTTAAAGTTCTCTTCTTTCTGATTTCTAATTTTTAAGAGAGTCACAAGTTTACAGAGTGTACCAGAGCAGTTGGTGTTGATCACTTGCTACTCTGTTCTTATTGCCTGTCATTTTCTATTGCTCAGCCATTAGAGTTGAGGAAGAAATTGAGATAGAGAGGCGGTGTTTCTGTTCATTTCTTCCCCACAGGGAACAATTAATATGAAGAATATAATGGGTTTTCTCTTTTAAGAAAAGAACTTTACAAAGCTGCAACCAACTAGGGTATCTTTAATCATCAAAATGGAGTTGATTTGTAGAATCAGTCAGTGGTTGGGAAGTGGGTAGTTGTTACCTGGCTTCCGTGTGTTTGGTGTCTAGTCTTTTCAGCATGAACAGTCCCTGAAGTAGTGGGCAAAGTGATCAATGATCAAACACAAGACGAACTGAAGCAAGAGCCGATGTGTTTTACATAGGGCTATTTTAGACATTCAGATCAAGGAGTGAGACTGGTTTTAGGGGGCAGCCTTTCCTCTTACATACTTACATAAGTGACATCCCTTGTTACTGAGGCATCTCATTCACTGAGTTTCTTTTTATTGTAACTCCCTGGGCCCTATATTCCAGACCTTTTAGGTATTAGGGAAACTATAACCACAGGATTTCTTGATTTCAGCCAAGGGACTAGCAACCTTCCTGTCTTCCAAAATCCCCTCATAGGTAAATAATTCATTTTTGCAGAACAGCAAGGAGAGAGTGAAGGAAGGAAGGAGAAAAGGAAAGAAAGAATTTCCAGACAGAACTTCAGTAATTTTTACCAAAATTATTCCCAAAGAATCCAGTGTTGCTCTAATTTAAAGCAAGTTGATTTACTAGTAACCAATTTTATTAGTTTCTTCTTTATCCTTCTATTATTTATTTATTTAAATATAAGCTATTTGAATATTTATTCAGATTTTCTCCTTTCTTGGTTTCCTCCTTTTTTTTTTTGTACTAAAATGCTCCTGGAGATTGTTCCATATCACAGAGATCTTCCTCATTCTTTAGAGCAGTTTAGCATTCTGTTGTATGTATGTACTATAATTTATTTAACCAGTCTCATGTTGATGGACACTTGGGTTGTTTCTAGTCCTTTGCATATAGTATATGAAAGTGTTTCTGTAGGATAGAAGCACAGAAATGAGATTGTGGGGTTAGATGTTAGTGCATTTGTAATTTTGGTATATACTATTTGCCAGATACTATTGAGTGGAAACTGTACCTTTTTCCTCTCCCATCAGCAATGTATGAGAAAACCAGTTTCCGAAAGAATTCATCAACTGAATGTATTGTAAAACTTTTGTATTATTGCTAAATGTTAGATGAGAATGAGTGTCTCAATGTAGTTTTAATTTTTATTTATCTGCTTTAGTGAGATTGAACATAGTCATATATTTAAAAGTTATTTGTATTTCTTTTATAAAATTAACTTTATTGAAATATTTACTACAATATAAACATACATATTTTAAGAGTTGAGTTTAATAAACTTTGACAAATGCATCCATCTGTATAATCACAACCACTGCCATCAAGAAAGAAAACAGCCCTGACCAGTGTAGCTCAATTGGTTGAGCATCATCCCACAAAGCAAAAGGTCTCTGATGTGATTTCCAGAGCATATGCCTAGTTTGCAGGTTCGGTCCCCCATTGGGGCATGTGAGAGAAGCAACTGATCTGATCGACATTTTTCTCTCATATCAAGGTTTCTCTCCCTCTCTTCCTCCCTTTCTTTCCCTCTCTCTAAAAAAGAAATAATTAATTAATTTTTTTAAAAGGAAGAAAACATATTCATTAGCCTAAAAATTTCCCTCCCCCTTTGCTGTCGATACTCCCAACTTCACCATTTTCTAGTATCGTAACTTTCTTGAATTTCAAATACATAGAATCATCCAGTATATACTCTTTTATATTTGGCTTCTTTCACTTACATTGCTTTTGAGATTTATCCATTTCCTACATTACTAGTTCTTCCTACATTACTAGTTCATTTTTTATATTGTTGAGTGATATTCCTACATATGGATATACTATAAATTGTTTATTCAACCATTGGTTTATAGACAATCAGGTTGTTTCCATGTTTTGACTGCCATGAATAAAGCTGCTGCTAATACTCATATATCAGTTTTTTACGCTTGGATAAATACCTAGCTGTGGGATTAACCAAGTCATAGAGTAAGTATGTGTTTAATTTTATAAGAAACTTCCAGACTAGTTTTCAAATAAGTTGTACTGTTTTACATTCCTACCAACAATAGTATGGAACTTTTAGTTGCACCCTATCTTCACCAACGTTGTTTTTGTCAATCTTTTAAATTCTAGGAAACATGTAGTTGTATCTCTGTTTTTTTAATTTGACTTTCCACAGTAATGACAATGAGTATGTTTTGATGTGCCCGTTTGGCCATTTGTGTACATTCTTTTGTGAAACCTCTGTTCATATGTTTTGTTCATTTTTAATTGTTATATGTATTTTTTATATTGAGTTGTAGGAATGCTTTATATATTTTGAATACCAGTCCTTCATTAGATATATGTATTTCAAATATTTTCTTTTACTGTATGATTTTCTTAACAGGGTTTTATGAAGAGTAGTTGTTTTGAAAATTTGATGGAGACGGATTCATCACTGTTCTTTTATAATTTTATGATAGGACACAAAAAGCCTATCTAAGAAATCTTTGTCTACAGCAAGGTCACAAAATATTTTTCCTGTCCTCTAAAGGTTTTATAGTTTTAGCTTCTACATTTAGGTTTATGATCCATCAAATCATAATTTTGTATATGGTGTGAGGTAAGGATTGAGATTTATTTATTTCCAAATGTATATCTGGTTATTCCAGAATCATTTGTTGAAAAGACAGTTAGGTCCTTATTGAATTACTTTGGCACCTTTATTAAAAATCAGTTGTGCAGTTCTATTTCTGAAGTCTATTCTGTTCCATTTAACTGTATGTTTGTTCTTAGGAATATATTATGCTGTATTTTAAATCTTGAAGTCAGAAAGAAACCATCTCCAACTTTGTTTTTCTTTTTCAAAGTTATCTTGGCTGTTCTAGGTCTTTTGCATTCACATATACATTTTAGAAACAGCTTCTCAACTTTGACAAATATGCCTACCAGAATTTTCATTGGGATTGCATTAAATTTTTAGATCCATTTAGGGAAAATTTATATTTTAACAATATTGAGCACTCCAATGTGTAAACATTACCTATTTTTCCATTTAGTTGGGTCTTCTTTGGTTTATACTGGCAATGTTATATAGTTTTCAGCACACAGAACTTACAT